TCTCTCTCTCTCTCTCTCTCTCTCTCTCTCTCTCTCTCTCTCTCTCTCTCTCTCTCTCTCTCTCTTACCGTAATCATCTCATGCCTCATGAACATAGGAAATATAGAAATTCAGCTTACGTACGTGCACCTTGTGATTTCATGCGATCACATGTTAATAACAAGCAATTTCATTGTCATGTGCAGTGGAACAAAGATCACATGTCGAAGGCGTTCGCTGCTGTATACATGGATGGGCTATTCAACTAGCGACGCATACTCTGACCGAGGTCGAAGAAGATGCCTTGCGCTACTTGGAAACAAAGTTCAACAATTACCAAATATTATCAAGCACGAAGAATCCAGGGACGCAAGAGGAGTTAAGGTTCACGTTCCAGGACTTAGGTGTCCTCATGAGTGACACACGATGGTTAACAGATGATATTATAAATTTCTACATGAACATGACAAGGGTAGACAATATATGTAGAACTACACATCATGAGTGTGATACGGCATCAAACACGTGTGCTGCAGACACCTGAGGATTGATTCCTTAAACAACAATATGCAACTCTTTTTTTCTGGTTAAGCTCATGGATGAAAAACTTGGATATCACTATGATAAAGTAGGTAAGTGGTTTAAGGAAGTAGTGATCGCGGAGAAAGACTTGATCTTAGCCCCGTATCACAACATTCATGAGAGGCATTGGACACTTGTTGTGATAGATCTCAGATGGAGAGTGATCGAGTATTACGACTCGATGGAAACATACATATACGTAGCCAAAAAGGTAGTCGCCAACGTGGCACGGTATGTGAAGGACAGGTCATCAGAACTGGGAAAGGAAATGGATACCAATCGCTTCAAAAGGAAATTGCAGGTCAGCGGCATTCCAAAACAAAAGGACATAAATCAATGCGGGGTGTTTATGCTTGCGTATGCGTCTCTTTTGGCGAGAGGTCACTTGCCACTATTCCAATTCAGCATGGATGATATAAAGCGTATCAGACATCGAATTGCATTGGACTATGTAGCATTGAGGTGAGATAACTTTTCGTTTTTACAATTGTATATATGTCAATGTAACTTGAATCACGCGGTACAGGGTGTTAGTTCAAGTGAGCAATTTGAAAAGGATTCAGACTGACCATTTAAGACCGGTAGCGAGAGTTGAGAGTTGTGGACTCGATTTTCAACATGTTGAACTGTCGAACCGTTGAATGGGAGGGTAGAGAGACTGTGACGGTACAGGCAGCAACAGTGAAAAGTATTGGAGCCTTTTCCAATCAGGTACCTTATTCTTCGCGATAATTCCGCCGATGCCATTGAACTAGGTTAATTACGCGGATGTCATTGAACTACGTCGAAATTCTGAATTTGCCATTTCATATATTTCTCACTTTTTGCTTACCAATAAGAAAACCAACAGTGCCATGAAGTGTGTCTTTCCCTTTTCTGGCTAAAGAGCAAGGAAACAGATTTTTCCTATCACTATTTTTCAAAACAAAAAAAATATATATAAAATGAAACTTCATCATAGGACCACCCTGTATATCATCTAAGACATGTGATCAATGAATCATGATATACGATATATGATAGTATAATATATCTTACAACCCTTGAGGTCCGTAATCTAACACATGTGATGAATGCCTGAATGACACATGATCATATGGTCTATGTTCCTATCATCTATGATATATAATCATGGTCTGTGTTCCTTATGATGTATGATATATGATGTACATGTCACATATATGGTATATGATGTATGATATATGGTCTATGATGTATGATCTATCATATATGATGTATGATGCATGATGCATGATGTGTGATTTATGATCTATGATGTTTGATCTATGATCAATGATCCATAATGTACGCTATATGACCTACGATCTATCATGTCTGCTCCACAACCCATGATCTATGATGTATGTTCCTATGTTATATGTTCTATAATACATGATCTATGATATATAATTCATATTTGATGTTCCTATGATCTATGATATATATTACAACGTTACAGTTGTGGTATTATGGTATGTGATGTATGATCTATGGTCCATGATGTATGATGTGTGATCTATGATTTAAGATCTATGATGTATGATGTATGATGTATGATCTATGATCAATGATGTATGATGTATGACCTATGATCTATGATGTATGTTCCACAACCCGTGCGACACCCTCTTTTGCACCATAAAATACACGAATTTTAGCAGTGTCCAATTTCGTGTTTTTAGAAAAAAATGTCAGTTTTAACGAAATGTCTGTTCTTACAAGAGCTGTCCACCAAACGTTGAATTTTTTTTCTTCTTCTGTTTTCGGAGAGAAACGATTCTAAAAGAAATACGCAATTGCGGGGGCCTCCAGAGTTTCTGTAAAATACGTAACCCTGCGGTTGTCCTAGCCGTTTGCGTGAAAATGCAAAATACGTAACCCTTGTGACCAAAAAAATTACCTACAATTTACGATTTTATGAAAATGCATGCTAGTGTGAGTATGCCCTGAGCAAGGCCGTCGGATGCCATGCAGATCTTCTTTGTATCATCCCATTTGTTTTTGTTTTTTGTTTTTTCTTTTCTGGTGGCAATGTGTCAGTCTTATTTCAAATAGAAAGAACAGAGGTCGGGAATGTTCACAAATAACTCGGAAAGACGGGTCATTACCTAGTATTTTTTGTTTGTGTCGTAAAAAGACTGAGGACACCTGCTGGTGGCGATACTAGCCAAAGTTTTTCA